TACACTGCTAAATTAGGACTTAATCACGTGGTCCAGAAAACCGTTGAAATTGTTTCGTTCAAATTGCTTTCGTGCTTTTGGTGTACTGTAGCAGATAGTATCTACTTTGCCCGCAGGAATGTTGCTGCAAGTTAGAACACTGTATAGAAACAGGTCATCGACTGCAATATCCTTCGCTGAACGAGTAGATGATATCTAGAAGTTAGTCTTTGTATGAACAAACAAAGGTGAAATGGGCAGCAATTGCCTAGTTCAGCATGATACTTTTGGGAAAAGTCTTGAAGAACTGACCTACAAAAGTAACACAGATGGAAAGAATAACTTTTCGACAGACTTCCTTCTTTAGATTAATTTGCACCAGTTTTTGCAGGGATTTATATACTATCCGTGAGTACTGAGGTGGACGCGAAGTGATTGATTAATGATTTCTGGAACGTGATAGGGGAAATAGTGATGATTTGAGCAATGGTAACTACAAACTCTTCTGATCTGCAGGCCTCCGTTAAGCGAATGGTTTAATAATGTTGATGTAGAAAGATTCTTTGATTCTTCTTATTTTCAGTTCAATTCAATTCAATTTTATTCACATACTAGATAATACAACGTGTTATAAATAAGTAATAATTTGTGTTACAATCAATCTAGTATATGAAAATGAGACACAAAAAGAAACGGAATGCTTACACAAGAAAAAGTATTAATAATTAAGAAAAAAAGAAACATATATATAAATACATAAAACTTGCAGTATGTAAAACATTTGATACCTCTAACAAGCAATAGTGTCATAATATTTTTACTCAACTATAAGAATAACTAAATAAACCATATATTTAAAAGATAATGTATGAAACATACCTTAAGCGTTTTAAAGAGTTCATTTCTGTTATATTATTAGGTATTGCATTCCAAGTTGTTAACCCCTACAAAAGCTATTGCACAATAACCTTTTAAAAGTGGTAAATGTAAATCAGCATTAATTCTTGTATTATGACAAAGGATGTTCTTGTTATTTTTTAAATTGAAGACTTGATATATTAATTAATTAATTTTTTATCATAATCATAAATCTTAATTTACCTCATAAATGTTTAATAATTGGTATTTATGAAATAATTGACACACAGAATACTGATAGCTTAAACCCAAAATTATTGTCATATATCTTTTTTGAAGAAGCAACAAAGGGTTTATATTATATTCTGATGAATCTCCTCATAAGTATTTACATATATTAAATATGAATATAGAAAAACTATAATATAAAGTTATGAAACATTTCATATTAATTAATATTTTTATTTTGTTTACTATTCCAAAATATCTTGCAATTATTTTTCTAATAGTTACTTGCTGGGACCAATTTATCATCAATTATAATACCTAAAACCTTTGCTGATGAACATATTTCAAGCAATATTCTATATATATATGATTACTTCTTTACTGTAAATACTTTTACTTCTATTGTGAAAAGGATAAATTTAGTCTTTTCAAGACTTACAAACGGATCACTATCACTGAAACAATAATATATCTAATAACAAATTAACAATTTCAAGTAAAGACCCTAAATTTTTATCAAGAACTAAAATTATATTATCCTCTGCAAATAAAATCTGCGTTTCGTCAAATAAAAAATCTGACATGTTATTAAAATATAATAATAACAACAATGGTCCCAGAACAGATCTCTAAGAAACATCTCTTGTATTCATTAATTCATCAAAATATTTGTTATCGATATTAACTACTAAAATTCTATTTTTTAAATAACTCTCTAACCAATTATATATTTTACCACTTATTCCTGTATTGTATATTTTGAAAAATAACTGATTTATGCAATCAAATGCTTTAGATAAGTCTTAAAAACACTGCTATAGCAAATTCGTTTTTCTCCATTTTATCGATAATACTTTCACATAAAACATGAATAGCTTGTTGTGCCGATTTGTCCATATGAAAACCACACTGAGGTTCAGACAATAGATCATATTCATTAACAAAATTCGAAATTCTACAGTAAATTGATTTTCATAATATTTTTTTAGAATATACTGAATATAGTTATTGGTCTATAATAATCAATTTCTTCATTATCTCTCCTTTATAAATACTGGTATTAATTTTGCCTTTTTCAAATAATCTGGAACTATGTCATTTTTAAAACTTAAATATTTAAATATTGGTATTAATTTTGCCTTTTTCAAAGATTCTGAAACTATTTCATTTTCAAAACTTAAATATTTAAATATTGGTATTAATTTTGCCTTTTTCAAAGAATCTGGAAATATTTCTTTTTCAAAACTTAAAATATTTAGATATGAATGACAACTCACCATAGTCACATACAGGAAATATATTGATAGATATTTACATTTCCAGTCTTATCTACCACCAACCTTCTGTTAACTGCAGCATTATAAAGTGTTTGAATAACAGAGCTAAAAAACATCTGAGACCAAAACTCCAACAAATCCGAACGCCGACACGTCATACAGTACTTTAAACTGAACGGATACCACGATAGTTTCATCACTAATAGCATGACGAACATAAAGATACAAACTTATATAACAGACGAGAAAAAAACGAGACCAACACTGCTTACCTCTCTTACATGCTAAACCTAAGTGATGAGATAAAGTGTAGTTTAAAAAGTTCAACATTGGTGTCATCTGGAAGTCTTACAGAACACTCAGATCTAGCTTTGCCAGAACTAGACAAAGAACATCAGATGAGAAACCCAAAAACGCCATTTATTAAATACCGTGTTTCTGTAAACAGACTTATATTGGAGAAACTGGGAGATATTTTGGGGCAAGAATAAAGAACATAAAGACTGCACAATACTGATGAAGACACAGAGCATACCATGTTGACTGGACATAAAATAAACTGTGACAGTTACACACTTATCAATTCAGATAGATTGTGGGAAATAAGAAAATTCAAAAAATATTTCTACATCAACACATTAACACGATGAAATCACTGCTTAATACTCGGGCCTAGAAATCAGCAGTTTGTAGTTACCATTGGTCAAATCATTTATTCCACCAAACACGCACGAGAACCACCAACCAATCACGTCACGTCCACTTCAATTCTCTTGATATAGCATCGGTGCAAGCTGACCCGAAGAAGAAATAAGGAAGATTTTCGAGACGTCGTCCTTTCCATCTCTGGTACTTTTGTAGATTAGTCCTCCAAGACTTTTTTCTGTAAGTATCACGCTGAACTAGCGCAGAAACCCTCAAGTAGTTTTGCGCTAAATTTAAAAACAAAACAAACGAACTTCTCAATTTTCCTGATCGATCTTCCCGTTGTAAAGCAGACTTATGTCATACTTGAGCGGAAATAGATTGCCTTGCAAATACCACAAACTGACACGAGGCACGGAGAAGACACAAGACCCTCGGGGGTTACAAGAGTGATCGGATCCAAACTCCAATCTGTGTCACCCCCCGGGGGGATAAGGGTACATGCCAGGTTTAGTAACATACGGTCCAGCGGCTCGTCGTTTATAAACGGCCGCAAAAAAAAAGTTAAAAGATAAACCACACCGTTATCGAAACAAATATTTAAACCCATTTGCATTTCTTTCCATTTCAATATAGGTTTTTATAAAAGTTTTTGTAATATCCCATCAAGAGTTTTTGATATATCTAAGAAACAGAGTACATGGTATTATCATTAACATAATAATTTATTTAATTAATCAATTGAGTGCATCTTCTATATTCACACTTTTCCGAATTGAAAATTTAAGAAAAATCTTGACATTTTATAACTCTTTTTTTTATTACGTTTTCAATAATTGTTAAATTAACTGGTCGGTAATTATTTACATTATTTTCACAACCTTCTTTACCAACTTAACACCAAGTCTGCTTTATGTGGTGTTGGTGTAAAGTAATTCTGGAGTTTATAGGTTGAAATCGCATGCCTTATCTGAGGATAGTTTCCTTGTGCTATTTTTAACCATTCTTGATCTCAGTAACACTTCCTTTACGGGAATATAAATAATCTCTTTGTTTTATAGTGTAGGTTATTACTAAAGGTGTGGGGGGATACAGCAATACGATACGATAATCGTATTGTGAAGCCGTGATACGATTCATGTATCTTTACGAAATGTGGCAAGCTTTCAGTAAACATTATAAGTATTTTGTACAGGAAAAAAACATAATTTTTGATAAAGTATTTTTGCTAAAACTTAATGATTCAATAAAGGAAGATCAGTATTGAGTACTACGTGTTGTCTTAATTGCTTTTATCAAAAACATTACATGTAAAGTAACATAATAAATTAATAATAACAAAAATAGATAGACATATATGAACTTTATGTTATTTTACTTCTCTTGCCAGCTACCATTTAGTTGATCAAACCTGAGAATTTGAAAAAGCACTGTAAGGTGTGAAGTACTTAAATAAGACAATGTTAGTAATATAGATAATAAATTACAGACAAGACTGTCAAACTTTGTAACAAACCGTTGGCAAAACTTCTGTATCTAGATGCGTATCGTATCGACTACTATGATGAGATACACATCCCTAATTATTCGGTGGCGAAGGTTGTGTTTTCACACTTGTGTTGTCAGCACGACCTCTCGGAAAAGACTGAATGGATTTGGACGAAAGCTAGTATACATTTGGACCAATGACCCAACCACGAAAAAAAAAGCATTATCTGTTAAAATGGGGACCGATTTTTACACTATTTGTGTTCTATAACTCAATCAAAAATGATTGGATTTTGGTGAAACTCGGTGGACATATGTAGAATATTATTCCTCATTGTCCAGCCAAAAATGGTCCGTGTCCGTTGATAACTACGGACACATTTTCCTGTTTTTGAGGGCCAAATATAATCAGAGCTGTGTAGTGAAAGTATGCGCTCTAATGTGTGCCCATCTAGTATTCATGTAGTTTTATTAATCATGTGATTTGTGAGTGATATATTCCTGTTTGTTTCAATTACAGAGAACCAGTAATACCTTGAAGTGGGGACCGATGTGCCTTACTATACCTACAATAAAGGTAAGACGTTTTTATATTATTTTGTGTGAAATAAGAAAAGACTCTCCATAATTTCTCAAACTTATTGTAAAGACATTAATTTATTAATTTTGTCGTCTTATGACATCAACTATATTTTGTATTATTAATACTGACCGTTGCATTGTCGTCTTATGACATCAACTATATTTTGTATTATTAATACTGACAGTTGCAAGTGTGCCTGAGAAACAAATTACAGAGTTTGACCGAAGTAATATATGTTGATATGTAGAGTAAAACATTAGTATTTTACTATGTATCACCTTGGTAGTTAATAGTCTAATACCTTAGTAAGTACCCATGCTAAACTTTATTAATTCATTGTGTAATTCCACGGTAAATTACTGTGCATCACCTCAGTATTTGTAGTATAATATCGTAGTAATTAACCGTGTCAGATCTTACAAATTTATTGTGTAATTGCGTAATAATTTACTGTGTACCACCTTAGTCTAATGTCCTAGCAATTAACTGTGCTATACAGTGGAATGTTTCATTATATGTAATACTGTAGCCAGTAGCCGTGTAATACCTTATTAGTTTTCGGTAGAATGTGTCACTGTAGTGCAATACTGCAGTTATTAACAGTGTAATACCTTATCAATTTTCAGTAGAATGTGTCACTGTTGTGCAATACTGCAATCATTAACCGTGTAATATCTTATTAATTTTCAGTAGAATGTGTCACTGTTGTGCAATACTGCAATCATTAACCGTGTAATACCGTATTTATTTTCAGTGGAATATGTCATTACAGTGCAATACTGTGGCCATATTCGTGAACTGTTTGTTGTTAAGCTAGAACATTTACATAACTTAGTTTGCAACTATGAGTAGGACTTTTTCGTTAAGTCTGTTTAGCTACATTTATTCGTTTCTTGGCCCTGCATGGCCAGGTGGTTAGGGCGCTCGACTCGCAATTTGAGGGTCGTGGGTTCGAATCCCCGTCACACCAAACATGCTCGCTCTTTCAGCCGTGGGGGCGTTATAATGTTACGGTCAATTCCACTATTCGTTGGTAAAAGAGAAGCCCAAGAGTTGGCGGTGGGTGGTGATGACTAGCTGCCTTCCCTCTGGTCTTACACTACTAGATTAGGGACGGCTAGCGCAGATAACCCTCGTGTAGCTTTGCACGAAATTCAAAAACAAACAAACTATTATTCGTTTCTGAACATTTCAACGCAGAGCTCGACTTTGCTTAGAAAAAGAAACCAAAGTATAACATTGATATACTTACTGATTTCTTAGAAGTATGATTCTGTTTTGTTTTAATACAAGAAATAAAATGTTTTAGTAATCTAATTCTTCCGTTGCTTTTAAACGTTGTTATATACTTTCTACTATAAACGTGCTGTTATAAGTTGATCTTACAGAAATACACACAGACAGGAAGACGCATGTAAATGAATGCGGCATTCTCCCCCTGATTAAATCATGTTAATCATGATTCAAACAAGAAAAACGCAACGCTAAAGAAGACTATCGAACGTGGGCGCCACAGATGTTATACAAACAAATAATTTAGCTGTAATTAGTTTCCAGAACAAACTAATAACAAAAAGTTCCAACGTTTTTCAGCAAACAAAAGTAAACTGGACCGATTGAATTACATAGAGATTCAGTCTTACAAATTCAGATCTCTGCTACAAGAATGGCAAAACAAGTATTTGATCAATTCACTTCTAAAACCTCATCACTCCTATAGTATCTTTGCGGAATCAGGATGGTTTACCTAATGAATTAATATATTTTTAAAAAAGATTAAAGCGAGGTTTGCCTTTAAAAACTGAATTGACGTTTGTTTTAACAACGCAAGAATCCGGGTTTCGATGCCCGTGGTGGGCAGAGCACAGATAGCCCATTGTGTAGCTTTGTGCTTAATTACAAACAAACAAACTTGTTTTTAAAAGATTAAAGCGATTTGGCTAATTTATAACTTTTCTATAGCAGCTTGTTTTAAACAAATTAAGTTCAGCATTCTATTAATATTCGTTATTATGTTTTACAAATGAAGAACCTTTCAAAAATAGTACTTTCGTTAGTAAGGGTCGTCACATTCGACCTCGGTTAGTATCCGCCCCCGAGAAATGTAAAATACCATTCCACACTTAGAAAATCTCTTACAGCATCTTATTTTATTCAATAGATTTTTCTGATAAAAATACCTAATGTTTTTAGCTCAAATTTCGAATCACATCGTTATTTATTTTCAAGGATAGCTTGTGTATCGAACCGGATTTCCGCAATTTTTCACAAAGCATCTACTGTGTTTGCACAAGATTTTCTATAAAGTTTTCCTTGCGAATTTCTCATCGCAGTAGATTCACAATTCATCGCGTTAAATGTGGTGAATTTCTATAAATTTTGTGAAAACATTGTTTGTTTGTTTTTAATTATGCACAAAGCTACACAAGGGCTATCTGTGCTCTGCCCACCACGGGTATCGAAACCCGGTTTCTAGCGTTTTAAGTCCGCAGACATACCGCTGTGCCACTGGGGGGCCACATTGTTTATAAAAACGTAAGGTAGCAACTGTTATGTAAGCATATTTGTTTTTGAATTTCGCGCAAAGCTACACGAGGGCTATCTGCACTAGCCGTCCCTAATTTAGCAGTGTAAGACTAGAGGGAAGTCAGCTAGTCATCACCACCCACCGCCAACTCTTGGGCTACTCTTTTACAAACGAATAGTGGGATTGACCGTCACCCACGGCTGAAAGGGAGAGCATGTTTGGTGGGAGGGAGATTCGAACCCGCAACCCGCAGACTGCGAGTCAAGCGCCCTAAACACCTGGCCATGCCAGGCCGTAAGCATATTTACTACCCTGTATTATGTGTTGGTCATTTCAAACTTTTATATACGTGTTAAGCCTAACAAACAAACAAAATCATCTGACATAAAATGTTTTTAGTCTGCTTCATTGAGTACTTTTCATTTTAACGTCCGTTAGAAGGAAGATAAGCTCAAAAAGCTAGTCTGATTGCCGTTAAACGTGTTGTAAACTGATTTCAATAATCATATCGGTAGTATGAGAATTTAGAAGCTTATAACGTTGTTCTCTTGTTAACATTCAACAGAACTCAACAAAATATCATCTTACTAACCTCGCAATCTGTATCATCATATCACAGCGGAAGTTAATATTACTGCTGCCTTCTGTCATGGTTAAAGGAACTGTTTCAAAGAATCCGACCTATCGGTAAATATCGTAACTATACAATCAAGTACAAGAGAGCGAAATCTACCGCCGTTTTTTCATTGATTTCAATATTCGGATTTAATGTAAATTTATTTTTTCTCAATTACAATAAGCAACATGTATCTGAAACGACCCTGTAATAAATTGTGTATATTTGCTGATCCTTTAACTATTCTATGATGTTAATTGTTTAAGAAAGCTAACCTGTTCCCCGTTCTGGGAAATGGGAAATTAAATAAGCAGTGTAGCATACAAGGTATTTATTATAACTACTGATTTTCTTAAGGTATTGGAATCAAATATATAAAAAGAAAAATTAGCAATTAACAGATAACTATAAAGGAAGTTATTCCAACATTTATTTATTTAATTTTTGACAGAATTTCTTTCTTTTCTTGTTAAGCAAAAAGCTTTGCCCACCACGAGTATTGAAACCCAGTTTTTAGCGTTATAAGCTTTCAGTCTTACTTAAGAGCCACTAGGGGATATTTTGACACATATTCCTGTTTTTATCGATTTTTGTGTATGGAATGTTCGAATTTTGCTACCTTTTTTTCATAAATATTAATTTCATAAAACTTGCGAAAACGGTTATAACAGTATATAGAAATATTAAGAACAACTGTTTCTCTCCCCCCCCCCCATCGCTCATGTAATTGAAATGTTATATATCTCCCCTCTTTTTGAATGTGTAGATCGAATATAACAAAAAAAAGCTAGAGAGCTATAATGCTATATAAATTTACAGTGCTAAAATCAGGGGTTCGATTCCCCTCGGTGGACACAGCAGATAGCCCGATGTGGCTTTGCGATAAGTAAACACACACACACACTGAATTAGAAGTTAAAAAATATACAAGATCAAAGTCAATTGTTCAGATATAGAGCTTAATTTTAATCTTATGCTTCTGAAAAGTGGATAAAAAAATGAGTCATTCATTCGTTAGCGTAGCTCGAGGTGTGAGATCGTAAAGTACAACAACTCAAGTGCTATAAGCCACTCCTCCTTACCTTCATTTTGTTATCGTTCTAACACCCTTCATCAAACAAACATTTCTGAGTTATTTGTATCACAACGCCTTGATAACGAACACAGTATTCATTTGACGTTATACAACTAATACAGAAAGACTTGGATTATAAAAACGTGATAACGTACGAGTTTTGTATAAAAAAAAATGTGCATGTGTGAAACCTATATCTAATGTGAGTTTTTTGTATAGCGTTTTCTTGATATTTTGAAACTCTACAACAATGTAGTAGCAACGTTCAGTCATCGATATTTTTACTCCGAAACTGACTCATTCATTTAAACCTAAAGTCTCGCATATTGATATCAGATCAAGTTCTTTTTTTTTTTGGTAATGTTGCGATTTTTTCTTAAAATGTATTGATAGATTCTAACTTAAT